TATGAATGTATGATAATTCTTGATTTATGTGTTGTTTGATCATTGCCCATAAATATTTCTCGATTTCCACCTCCCAGAAAAGTAGGGACTGCCAAATAACAACCGACATCTACCGAGGGAGATAGAGGTGCAGGACGTGCGTGGCTAAAGAGATTGTCCAATTATTTCTAACATTTTGAAGTCGACAAGTATCCTTTGAACGAAAATGAACAACTTTTTGTGTGCATACTGTGAGGAGTGTGAGATCGTGAGTTCATGTATCGCATAAAAATGGTATAATTCCCCTTACTCATTCATGAGGAAAAAATTGTATCAAAATAAAGCTAAGATCTTCTCTCAACGTGGTAAGCACTACAACTAAGCTGCGCGTAGAATTTGGTATACGAAATAGGGAGAATCAGAATTTGAATTAAAAAAAAAAGGTTGTACATTAATTCTGATAGAGAGGACCATTGTTGTGATTTTGTCGGTCGCATCCATCTGCCGGAGCATTTTTTTTACATACGTTTACAAGATAAAAGAAGGCACGGAAGAAGTGAGACAATCATTATAATCGATCGCAAATATATACAATATGTTTTGATATATTTTTTGAAATTCTTTATTTTTATGTTTGTTGTGTTATTTTGTGTTGGTAATTGTCCACGACATTCTGATGAACATGAATCACATTGTAATGTAGCTCCATTGGTGTATGGTGAACTTATGAGAGAATACAAGAACTATCATTTCCTCGGAAGAATTTCATGGCGTTTGCGAGAACGATTGCCGACGAGATGGTGGAGAACAACATATACGAAAAATATACAAAATATAAACTCGGATAATGATTTTTGTTACCATGTAATATATATTTTTATATACCGTGGTTGTTTAATTAATGCATGAATCTCGTCGGTTACCGGATTCTTGGCATAGTAAGTCGTTATTTGTTGGTCCATTTCTGATATATAGGACATGTCTAATATATAGTACATATCGAAAATCAATATATAAATTTTCAGCTATCAGGTGTTTTGGTTTCACAAAAAAGTAATTATCGTGAGTTGTATCGTATATTATTTGAGTTGTAACTCCATTGATGTTTGGGGACCTAGATAATAACATCAAAGAGTTGTCGAAGGGGCGTATGGACTTTACGGAATTCGTGCATGCAAAATCCGAGAAATGGTTGAAAACACTATTATATACAAAATATAAATCAATCTAGTAATTCCTTATACAGAAGGTATACATAAGATATAGTCATTATATACCGTAGACATACCAAAGATGATAAACCAATCTAGTCATTATATATATATATAAAGAAAATCTAGTCATTCTATACAAAAGATATACAAAAGATCAACTGAAAACGCGTTATATACATCAAATGACCTATCACTTGAATAAACACAAAAAAGATAGAGCCGCCGACAACACAGGAGTCGAAACTGCCGACCCCTCGTCAACCTCATCTATCAATTGAATAAACACAAAAAAAGATCACATCTTTTATTCAAACTTAACACTCCAAAAACACAAATCTCATAAAGGAAGCATGGGTTGATCTTTTTAAGCCGATGTCTTGATAAGACCGGATTAAAGCCTCCATTAATGGTCGTACGTCGACGGTGTCATCATCGGATACGTAGTCGTGCCGCTTGATAGAGCTCCTCGGTCCAGTCACCACGTTGCTCCCAAATCTCTAGTTACGCCGCCGCTATTCGCGTGTCTCAGCCGCCGCTGACAAACAGTGATGGGGGTGGGTGGTGTGCGATTTGAGAAAAATTCCAGAAAAAAAAATATAATAAAAAATAAAAAACAAAAAGGACAAATTGAGTAATACTTGGCCGCCGATTCCTATTTCGCCCATGTGGGATTTGAGCCACCGCTATATTTGATGTTGGGAGTGAAAAAATAGATAGAGAAAAAGGAGAACTGGGTAGTTGAAAGTGAGAGAGAGAGAGAGAGAGAGAGAGAGAGAGAGAGGAGATTGTGATGGGAACTAAATATAAGAGTAATTATTAATTAAACTAATTATTAATTAAACATTAGGAAGTTTGCAAATAAAAGTAGAAAGCACTAAATTTAAATAAAAACATCATGCGCTCATTAGGGAGGTAATTTTCTCGATTTTGAGAGGGCACAAGCCATTACTTAGCATAACCAAATTTCTTCAGGAAGAGTCGTAACAAACGGACAGAACCACCACACGAACAACTGCGGATTACAATTGCATTTTCAATCACAACACAATGTGGACTGAGTATTTAAACTTTGGAACGGAAATCCAGCGCGTCGTAGTACAAATGACAGATCAACTTCAACTAGATCAACAACGATGAAACCGTCTTTCAAAAACCAATAATTTTATCATCGATAATCTCATTTTCCACAATGCATGGTTATAATATGTGTGTAGTTAAAAATACACCCTATACCCGTGCATGCCGGTGTCCAAGTCAATCATACATCATAAGTCATAACTAGACGATGCTTACAGCTGTTGATTTTTCCGAAAATCGACAAAACACCCAAGAAAAACTCAATATTCAGTTTTATACAATACAAAAAAGGGCAAATTCACAAGAACAGTCCATTAGCTGAAATACAAACCATCATGAGATGTGCAAACAAGACCTAAGACACACCTTGGAAGGACAAACGATCTCGCAGAGTATCAAAAATTGACGAAGCTGCAGCATTTTGTGCGAAGGTTAGCTTCAAGCGCCCCAGTAGCTCACCATCCTTAGCTTGAGAAGCAGCATCTGCAGCTTCCTTGGCCATTCCAATTTTAGCAAAGGCCTGATTTTTATTGAAAAAAAAAAGGCATAAACCACTTATTTTTGCAGATAGTGCACATTCCACTAGGAAACTATCCAAAACTGTCAAGTTAAATCGAAACTTGTATTGGTGAAGCTACCTCGGCTCTCTCTCGAGGATCAGCAAGTTTTGGAATGTATTTTAATGCTTCATCTTTCTCACCAGCATCAACACAAGCCTCTACAAATGGACGGTAACCTACAGATGACAGCATAAATGATAATGAAAAGTCAAACATACAAATTCAAACGTGAATGCATTAATATAGTTTCTAACTAGAAAAAATTGCAAGCCAAGCATTCTAGTGGATCTACTTTGCATGTAATAGACGTTCATATATTGATCAACGTGCATATATTGATCAGATCCAATGATGAAATGGGTGGCGACGAAACAGAAGAAAACAACAATAAACACCAAGGTAATAGTATATCCATGATTATTTAACCCAAGATAGAACACTGACCAATTGGTGGTCTCTTCTCTTTGGAAAATTTTTCGAGTGCGTCCCAGTCTCTGATTGTTGCGAGTGCAAAAACTTTAAGCCAATACCATCGTTTTTCCGAAACCTGAATCATGTTGATCATGTCAGAAAACTGACTTTGGAAATGCAAGAGAATACTTGCATAATCTACTGTGCTACAGTTTTAGTGGTTGTAACATCTGGAATTTTCAGACCTTAAATTCAGTTTTCACTTTATTAGCTGCTCGATGATTTCCAAGGACAATACATGTGCGTATTGTGTCGCTGATACTTGAATCCACAAAAATAGCCTGCTTTGTAGTCACCTCTAGTTCATGTTGAATTCTGTAATTGATTTTAGAGGGTCAGCTGCAGCAGCTTTGAGAAACAAATGCTTAATTCATGTTATAGGAAATTAAATGAGCAATAGATGCATGAGTATTCAGGCCTAAAGCTCAACTATTTAAACCAACAGCAAATCGACCTCTAACAATTTCTAATCCCTTTACAGCATCAAATGCACAGCTAAATCTAAAGTAGACTCAATTGTTCAATTACAAGTCAGAAATTCTATCACGGTTCACATCAGTAAGTTGCATTAGACAAATAGAGCAAACCACACTAGTCCAGCTGCCAATATCCTACATTCGAAACTGAATCATTAGTGCAAGAAGGAGGTTTCTATTCATCAATGAGTGCTAGGATACATGCAGATCAGTAACAGAAAGATATATTTCTACGTGGAATGAGAAAGTTCTTGGATGAGCGATACAATTCATGCAGGTATACACAAGACAATAAGTGCCAAATGCAAGATGACCGTAACAATTTTGCATGTTCCTCAGCTGCCTTAGACTCAAATATGTGGTCCTTCGTTTCTGCAAAGACAATAAGTGCCAAATGCAGAGATGACCTTAACAATTTTGCATGTTCCTCAGCTGCCTTAGACTCAAATATGTGTTCCTTCGTTTCTGCAAAAAGATTACGGGCCTTTTCAATTAGTTTAATGCGTGGGCCATGAAGAGGGGATCCTTTGCTTGCCATTGGATTCTTTGCCAGTTCCCATGACTCTTTCCACAAGAGAAAAGCTACATCCTGCAAAATCATACAAATAACTGTGATAGGCTCTATGTAGATAAAAAGGAGCAAAGCAAGATGATGATGATGGTGCACTCAAGATTTTGAAGTGCCCCGATAAATGCAACATAAACCAAGTCCATATAGAATATTACAAGGATATAACTAAAAAGAGAATTACGCTGGACCCTTGCAATGCACAAGAATTTGTTTTCTAAATAATTCACAATAGTCTAATTCCAGCCCCACCAGAGCTGGGATTAGGACAAAATCAAAACAACACAAGGAAAAGAGGTGATTCTGTCCTGGAATTTGAGTCGATCTAGTATAAGCCATTTTTATTATTATTAATACATATCACCATCAATTAGTACACTAACTTCCCAATCCAGTAGATGACTAAGACAAGGATATCTACAGAACTACTGAAACATAAATTACCTGAATTTGCCCGGTGGACAAAAAGAAATCCTTCAAGAACTCGTGCTTATAACACCTGTAGCATGAGCAAGAAACTTAGAATTACATACCACATCGTAAATGGAGAATTTCCTCCCACTATACCTTTGGAATATTGGAGGGGCAACATCCTTACCGTGCATAAGTAATGAACAAATCACGTGCAAGAGGCTTGGCCTGTATAGTTGCAAAGAACTCCAGCGGCACTCTCTGCAATATTACATGACACAGGTAAGATATCATAAAAAACATATTTCTTTAAAAAAAATGCTAGAAACATAAAAATAACAAACATTCATAAACTTTACCTTGTGCCACATATGAAACATAACGAGATAAACGAGATCGGTATCACCACTTTCAGTAGCCTTGATGAGAGCAGTATCTTCTTCTCCAATGCTTAGCAAGAGAGGAATCTGACAAAGCAAAATGATTGATTGTATAGAAGCTCATGAAAAGCATAAAACTTGTACCACTTCAGTATGGGAGACACTGGTCCGAAAGATGAAAGTATAGTGTGATTTAAAACTCCACGGACATATAAAGAAGAATAAACAATAGCCAGAAAATGCCTGAGGCCTGGAAGATAGAAAAACAGAAATATACCTGTTTAGAGGAATGCGGTTCATGTTCAACTAGCATAGCAGCTAACTTTCTACGGCCACTTTTATCAGCATGAGCAGCAACAGCTGCATAGGATATTCCTTTGCATATCTTCAGCTGAGACTCCATAACGAAGATTATCAAAGGCATGCAAATTAAAGACCTGTGTTAGATCTGTATGCGTGGTAGGATGCAGTCAGTGTGATAGAAATATTTTGACCATGCCAAGTATGTAAAGATGGTAATGTTTATCGGCCCAGATATCATCCAAACTGAAGAAATCAGGAAGCCCAGATTAAATTTGCAGGTGCTTGCGTGGGCAGACTTGTCGAAGTCTAGATATTATTTATAATTTGCAGAACAAAGCCAGAAGCAATGCATGAGCTAAGAAAGTTCACCAAATGAAATAGAACAGCTGGTACAATCGATTAATGGAACTACAAGTCAGTATTCTGGGTAGCACAACTTTTGAAGTACAGGAATAACAAAATCCGACTCATTTGGTCACATGTATATTTGCATCTTTGATGAACAAGCATATAAGATCAGAAATAGTGCGCACCAGTCGTTCTTTATGGAACCAAAATAAACCAAACCCCACTATAAGACATAATTGAGATTAGGAACAGGGAACTGCACCCCCAACATTTGGTTATCACAGAGTAACGATACAAAATATCCAGATGAATCTCCAACAGCACATGCAGTATGTTAGAGATCAATTTGCTATTTCAGTTAATTCAATAATTAGGCGTTTGGTCCCACTGGGTTAGAAAAACAATTAGGGTTATGGTTAGGTTTATGACTCTATTTAAGTACACTGCCGGGTGTTACCTAGGGTTATCTTTTTATGGAATAGGTGTTAGGCATGGTCAGGAAGTTTCTTCCTGCAACAATTATTTCTTTTTCAATTTCATTAAACATATTTAAGAGTTTTGTTCTTTTTGTCAATACTTGACTCTATTCCAGCACTACAGACAAACTCACCGATGCATGTACACAAAGAGCACATATAAAGTTTAATTAGGATAGAAATGTTTAGGTTGGAAATTTAAGGGGCTTTATGCAAATACCTGAGTAAAATAAACAATATATGGTAAATACAAAAACTAACCTTGTCTAGTAAGATTTCAAGAAGACTAGCATCAGGAACCGCCGCGGACGCTGAAATCTTCGTACAAGTCCAGTGCATTAATACAGTTTCCTAATCAGGCAGAAAATATTAGTAACTTTAGCAAAAGATGCTGTAATTTTATCAATTACTTCATCAGAAAAGAGTATAATTGATCGCCAACGTTCTTTCTTTAAGTTTCATTATCGAGAAGTACCGAAGTAGCAATAGAAATAACAAATATGATCAACCAAATTATCCTTATAGGTGTGTCCCTTTTTCATCAAATTCCTCAAAAAAAGAAATTACCAATGTCCAAACTGAAAGGAGAAATCAAATACAGTAAACCGATTCTGAGGACAAAATACACCTCATCTGATATCACAAGCCATCATAAATTGGACACTAGGTCAATATACAGCATCCATTATAAGTCCTCTCGACATTTATTAAAAATTTACAACCAAAGTAAGGAAGTGCTCTTTAATATTTCACAGCGAAAACACATTTCCTTAAAACAGTGACCTATCAGCCATTCTTGGACCATTCAAAGCAGGCATTAATCATGCAAAACAAAATAATATGCTGCTGATAAACAGAGAACAAAGCAATAGCATTAAACTGAAGGATGACATACTTGGCTCATAGAAAGGTATTCCGATATCCGCAAGGCCAGGAGGTGATTGTGTGCATTAATCAAACGATTTATCAGAACAGAGGGTGTAAGCAACTGCAAAATTTTATAACATGGATAAAAATAATCAAAACCTAAATAATAGAACCAAGATGAAAGGAGAGCTAAAAGAAAATTTCAAGCATAAAGCAGCCACAAAAATAAATACCTTATACTGCTGAATGCTCAGAGGAATACCAATCTCGGCATGGCGTACAGCATTCAGGACACGCAGTGTTTTACACATTTCCTGTAGGCTGTCACGGTGAAAATGGCTGCCAAAGCCAAACTGGATATCATTACCAGGAAAAAAATCAGAAAATAATATTCTTTTAGAAGCAAGAAAGAAACTCTATATCAGAAACTTAAGAATGAAACATTGTATGCCGAAGTTTGATAAGAAACAACCAAGCTGATAAAAAAATAGAAGTTCAGGAAATTGCAACAAAATGAAGTTGGTCGAAAATTTCTAGAAACAAAATCCCCTGCTGAAACAGAAAAGCATTTTGTTGCTGGGTATGAGGTATTTCAATCATGATGTTTGCTTCAGAATGGAGCATAGTGAGGTGTTTCGTTATGTAATATTGTTTGCTACTCAAGATTATATTCATTTCTGTCATGATGTTAGCTTCCAAAAGTTGCTATTTGTTTCTGTCAATTTGTCTAGTTCTATGCTACAACATTTACGTGTATAGAACCATTAGCAACTTTCCACAGACATTGATGTGCTCTTCACATTTATGGTTGATGTCATTTGTTTCTCAGATGGCAAACAACTATGTTATCCTTTTTAACCATGACGAAGAACTACGTTTAATATAAGTTGAAAACAACAAAGAAATGAGGGAACATATATTCCATGTCTCGCAAGGTGACATTCATTCAAATAGAATCAAATTTGAGGTCCAACCTTACCTAGAAAAGGTGTGTCCATAGCTTGCAGCTCTCAGAAGTGTCCGCTGCTGTGAAATGTCAAATTCATAACCAGCAGCGTCAATGCAAGCCTCAACAGCTTCAGGCAGTGAAGGGCGAATCAATCTCAAATTTTCATCAGCCTGGCAAAATATAGGATTTGAGAGTTCATTATTCCCTTAACAAGATTTAAAATAATTTGGAAAACATTTCATACAATTAAGTTCATTTCCAGTTTTAATGTGGCCAGTCCTAAAATCTTAGACTCTATCCTAGCATTCGAGTTCTTCCAATAGAAATTATCCACAGTTAAAAGGAAAATGGAAGTTTGTCAGAAAGCCCATCCTTATCATTCCAAAGCACATCTATGTATTACTAAAGAAAAGGAAGTCAATAAACAAACATCAACATTTTCCCGCCAAATATTATTACTTTAATTGGAAATTTCATGTTCCTATGGAAAATCAAAACTTTTGGAAAGGAATCTAATATTCTATAAACGCTAAAATGAAAAAAAAAATACCTGGAATTATGTTCAAATAACCATAAATTTGTTATAAATTGAATTACTATAAATCAATTATAAATTATCTAATCATATCAAGTAATTATTACATTAATCAAAACTAAAGTTTGAAAATATTGGGTTCTTAATGATTTGATATATATATTTAAATATTAAAAAATATTATTTTTTCAAATTTAACAACTATTTAGCCTTTCATCAATTCTTTTATACAAACTATATATTGTTAATGAGAATATACTCCATAAGAATCTATATCTATATACATGTTTATTAAAGGAAAAAGGTCTACAAATTGACTATTATATATAAAATTCAATACTAATTGGCCATTTTATTATTTTTTTATATCAAGTAATATATTAATCATATTTTATTATTATTTTTTTTAATTTACGCTCGTAGTGGGCATATAAACTAAAAATTATTTTTTATATTTATATGAAAACGTTTTTTTTTTCATAATTCATTTGTATATTTTAGATCAAACGTTAGTTGAATCCATTATCTATTTTATGCAAGTTTTTTGTTGTTTGAACATATCATGTCAATATTTTCATTGTATTACATCTTTTTCTTTTTTTTTTTTCATTATATTCTTTCAAAATCAAAAGGAAAAATATAAATATCACGTATGTCTTTGGTTGAATGTATTTTTGAAAATTCTCAAAAAACAATTAAAATCTTAAAAATATTAATTAAAATATAATCTAAAAAGAAAATTTTCAACTAAAAATATTGTTGTATAGTAATGATATGTGTAAAACTAAAATTTAAAATGAAGAACTTTACATTTTTGTTGTGTCATGTTTATTAGGTGATACACCAATATAATGTATAAGTTTAATATGAAATATACTATTGATTGAAAGATTCAACCATAACCAGATATATTGACTATTTAATCCATAGTATAATCAACTTTACCTTGCTCATGCATGTGTATGAGTACAAGAATACTAGTATACTTTAATGCTGGTAAGGGCATTGAACAACTTTTAATAAGTCTTGAGGAATGGGGGTACTCTTCTAATTGAAGCAAGCATATTGTGAAGAGGATAATTTGCTCTAAATATGTAAGGACAAACAAATACGCCAAAAGACTATGTTCAAATTGTGAGAGATAGACATAGGGACAAAAATTTTCCTGATCCGCTCCCATTTTGTTGCATCTGTACAGTAAGATGAACAAATGGCACATAGAAAAAATACAGAAGGTACAAGAAACAATGAGCATAGCATATCTTCGTTCATCAATCATAACACTTTGACAGAAGTGTCACATATCTATTGGATTTGTGAGTACCTTTAATCTGAGTCTTTACAATCAACAATCAGTAGATTTTAATATGATAGTCTCTGATCAGAAAGCTCAAAACATGTTTGGAATAGAATCTAAATTATGTTAAGGTACATTAAGAAGGAAGCATATCATGTCAATCTAATATTGAACGCATGCATTCAATAAGAAGTTAGAGAAAGAATAATGCGGGTGAAGACCAATAACTGAAAGGAAATCACAGTCAGATTCATAATAAGATACTGTACCAATATAAATTTATAATGATGGAAGTAGATAAATACCTTAGCACTTCGCCTGTCAAAATGCTCCAGGGCATCATATAGTAAAGCAGACGGTAAAGTACTACCAATCTGAAATATAGATACAGTAGAGTCTGGAACTCGATGTAAGAACTCCATGCTTGTGTTGGAAAGTACCCGCACCCCATCACATTCTGGGATAAGGATAATTGGTTCGTCATATATATAGCGTACAGGATCACCATAAGGGCCCACCATGAGTAGCATGTCATCCCAATAAAGTAAGACACTGTCCAGCCCGCACCAAGCTAGTTGATCAGGAGGAAGAGCAGACTGTATGCATAAAATAGAACACATTAGGCTAACTAGTAAGAAACCTGAAGTGCCCAAAAATGAGCTTGAGAAAAACTAAATGTAATGAGATACTTTTAGGTATGGAAGCACAACTTCCATCACCCTGATATTCCCAAGTTCAATTTCAGAATGTGAAGTATTGTATCATATGCAACAACCACATGAAGATAGACATAGCCAGTGTTAACTCTGCTTGCGCAATAGCTAATTGCCTACGAGGCAGATGATTTATGGTACGATGATCAACTATGAAACGAATGAAACATCATCTAGGTTATTGACTTATTGGTAAGAAAATAGTTTTATAAAATATTTTCTTAAGCCCTTGTGTGCGTACATAAGAAGTTAAGAACACAAGTTCAAAAGCATGAATATTCAAGAAGCTCTTCAAAACAAGGGGTATATAAAATTTTCAAAACTTTACATCATGTGATTATTTCCATTCATGCATAAAAGTTCTACAACACATTTTTTTTATTATTATTTTTTTACAATTACAAGAAACAATGATTTGCACAGCTGTTCAGGAAAGACCCTTGTTATAATTAAAGACTTCCCAAGAAATAGTTCACATTGTCACAGCATTCGTTGCTTAAAACATTTACATAATTATATCAAGAATTTTCATTTTATGAGGGTAACTGAAAATTATTGGAAATTTATGGCTTGCTTACTATTCTCCTGCATTACCATAAACGAAACCTCTCTAGAATCATTTCAATCTAATGCAACATACTCCTAACAGGCTCACTATTTCCAACTCACTCACTCTTACAATTTTCGCACAGTTACCTACATTTACCATCATATGATGTATCAAGAGTGAAGCTAATTGCTCGTATGGCCAACAGAAAAACTAATATCAACGTTCAATATCATAACCTGAAAGCATACCTCACAGGCATACTCAATGATAACATCAGCGAAATCTGTAGACATGACCAGAAGCCTCCCGTCGTGCGTGAATGAGGCTACAAACTCCCCTTTCCTCGAGACCACCATCCTCTGTAACGGCCCAATCCCTGCCGCCAAAGGCTGCACTCCATCTTCTTCGACCAGTAACACGTGGTCCCCAACCCCTAGCAGCACCTCCACATCACCCGACTTGGTGTATTGGGGCTCGATCACTGCCATACAATGGGGAAGCTCCTCCAGATTGCAATCCGCCAATTTAACCGTCTTTGGGATCTTAAAATCCGGCACCGCAAAAATCTCGAAAGCCTCGTTAATACAAACCACGCCGTTCCCCCAAAATACGCACTCAACGACGCTGTTCTCAAAACACTCTCTGCCCAGGGAGAAGGTGCCAACCAACTCGGCGTGGACGTTGTACGAATAGACGGTCCCATCTTGTGTGATGCAGACTAGGGTTAGGTCGTCCGTCCAGGATAGACCGATAAGACGGCCGCCGGGGTTCTTCCAGACGGTCTCCGAGACGAGGCGACCGGAAGAGGTGAAGATGCGGAGCTTCCGGAGGGCGGACTCAGCGTAGAGCTGGACGATCTTGGCATCGTCTCGGATAACGGCGATGGGGCCGCCGAACGGTGCACAGGCGATTTTGTTGCGCGTGAGGTCAACTTGCTTCCACTGCATCTGGTAGAGCTCCGGCTTCCGGTAGTATCGGTTGTAGAGGAGCTGCCACTCCGCCGCCACCGAGACGCCGGCCATGTCGATGGAAATTGTATGTGATTGATGGTAATTTGATTGTCGTCCGAAAGATCAAATCTTTTTCATTGTCCTTTATGTTCGTGCATCATATGGATCTACTTCAGCAATTGCAGTCGATAATAGATGAAATACAAGAGGGAACAAAATAGGGAGCCACGAGGGACATCTAGGCGTGACCAAAACTCAGCCAAAACCAAAAGAACCGAGCCGTTGTGTGGTTCGGTTTCCTTGTGTGTGATTACGATCGTGTATCATAAATAAAGATTGTAATAAAATCTGTAACCGTTAGATTAAGATACACATCTATATTAGTGGATCCAACGATTATAAATCCCAATAGAATGGTTCTTTAATAAAAATATAGTATTTTCTGGTAATGACATGTGCTAACGTAATCGGTTATGCACAATGGATTTATGCTTGAATATGAGTGTTTTTTAGATTTCTTATTGCTTAATTTTCAACTCAAACGTTTGATACAATATAAAAAAGAAAAACACTACAAATCGCTACTTGGTCATAACAAAAGCAAGCTAATAAACATAAATATTGTTATTTGATCCTTGTTGGTAAGTCGTGCCCACGACTTATTAGGTATGATGTTGTCTGGTTGGTCGTCTTGCTGCGCGCAGCCAACTGCTGCATGTCATCCTGCTGCACGCGGGTGTGCTGCTGTTGCGCCTCACCTTGGTGCAAGCCTTGTTGCGCCCGAGTGTGGGTTGTGGTGATCCGCCACCCTCGAACGATTGTGGTTGGTTGCCTCATCTCCTTGATACGAGAGCGTCGATCTCAATTGTAAGTATTCTTGAGGAGTCGGCCCTTGCTCGCATCATTCACATCCCCTTCAAGAATGTTCTTCTATTCAAGGAAAAAAGTTCGAAAATAGACGAATATCTTGCAAATTTTTCCAAGTCGCTTCCTCCTTCGACAATTCATCCCGCTCGATCAAGACTTCACAATGGAAGTACCCAACTGTTTTATTTTACGATACTCCAAGCCGGCTAGGCAGCACAATGAGTTGCCCCTCCCGACTAATGGCGGTCGAGCGCATCAGAGGTGAGTATAAAGTTGAATAGAACATGATGTTGAAATATACAACTGAGGTGAAAGCTTTAGCTAAAGGTTTTGAGGCACGGGAGCTCATCCAAATTCTGCAGACGAAGAAAAGGAGAGCGGACCTACTGTCAAAAGTTGCAGCTTCGCTGCTAGACTACACGTTGCGTTCAGTTACTCTTGTGCAAATGTGATCAAGCATTTTGGACCCAAGCATAGAGGTAGAAGAAAAAGAAGAACCGTGGAGCTCCTTGATTAGGTGGTTGGAGAAAGCTAAGGATAAGTTGAAGGATTTGCGAATGGATAAACTAGTCAAGAGAGCCATGATATTTTTCATACATGATGGGATCCTATATCAAAGATTGTATTTGGGACCTCATTTGAGGTGTGTCTCCGAGGTGGATGGAGGGTATGTCTTGAAAGAAGTTCATGAAAGTTGTTGCGCAAATCATGTAAAAGCTCGCGTGTTGGTAGGAAAAGTTTTAAGGGATGGATATTTCTGGCCAAATATGAGAGTTATGGTGAAAGAGCTCGTGCAAAAATGTATCAACTGCCAACAACACGGACAAATCATCCATCGACCTGCTGAGGAGCTTGTCCCGATGAGCTCGTTGTTGCAGTTTACTCAATGAAGAATGGACATTGTAGGACCTTTACTATAAGGAACGGGTCAAAGAAACTTTCTACTTGTAATTGTGGATTACTTCAACAAGTGGATAGAGATCGGGCAATGGCCAAGATCACAGAGGAGAAGTTCATTCACTTCTTATTTACCAACATCTGCTGTAGGTATTGGATTTCTCGGATAATAGTTTCGGACAATGAACCTCAATTTTGGGAAAAAAATACAGGTTTGGCGCGCATAAATGGGGATCTGGTAGCACTTTCCTTTTGTAGCTCATCTGTAAGTGAATGGTCTAGGAGAGGAACAAATCAAACTACAATGAGGGGTTACATACTCGACTGAACAAAGCTTGAGGAGCTTGGGTGGATGAGGAAGATATTTTTTTATGGGCATATAAAACCACGTCAAAGGCGGTCACAGAGAAACACCATTCAGCTTAGTTTATGGTGATGGAAACAATTGTTTCGGTTAAAGTTGGTCTTATCTCTCAATGAAATCTACATTTGCAATAGATAAAATGAGGAGCTGGTAAAAGAAGGAGTTTAATTAATCGATGAAGTACGAGATCATGCTATGTTATGGACTGCACAATATAAATAGATGATGTGTTTGGCTCATGATAACAAGGTAAAGTTGAGATGATTTCATGTCGAAGACTTAGTTTGGAAAAGAGCATACTTGCTGAAACACTTATGGGAAATCGAAGCCCAACTGAAAAGGGCCATATATTATTTAGAAGGTGTTCGTTAGGGGAGCATACGAGCTCAAAGATACAGAGGGGAAAGGTCTTACCATGATCTTGGAAGTTAGAACGTAGCAAATTTAAAAATATATTTTTTATTAAATTTTATGTTATTGAGTTATGTACAATATACTAGGAGTCGATGAATGAATGGACTCTCTTATTGAAAATTGTTTGCTCTTGCAAGTTTTTTGTGACACAACTTTTTTTTCCATGTATGGTCAGCTTGTACAATCTAAGAATGCGATGGCTTAAGACCGACTCTTTGGAGTTTGGGTGATGTTCATTGTTTGTTTGTTTGTTATGTAATGGCTTAAGTTGAGCTCTTTGGAGCTCGGGTGCTATTCAAAAGGTATGATTCTGAGTTCTTTCGAGTGTGGGTGTTGTTCATGGGGTGTGACAACTTAAGTCTGAGCTCTTTGGAGTTTGGGTGTTGTTCATTGTGTGTGACGACTTAAGTTCGAGCTCTTTCGAGTTTAGGTGTTGTTCATTGAGAGTGATGGCTTAAGTGAGAAAACTTTCGATTTTGGGTGTTGTTCATTGTGTGACGGCTTAAGTCCTAGCTCTTTGGAGCTTGGGTGTTGTTCAAAAGGTATGTCGGCCTAAGTCCAGACTCTTTGGGGTTCATGCGTTGTTCATGAGGTGTGACAGCTTAAGATTATATTCTTTGGCATTTGGATGTTGTTCATTGTGGGATGGTTTAAGTTTGAGCTCTTTGGAGCTCGGGTGCTCTTCAAAAGGTGTGACAACTTAAGTTCGAGCTCTTTGGAGTTCGAGTGTTGTTCATTGAGTGTGATGGCTTAAGTCCGAGCTCTTTGGAGTTTCGGTGTTGTTCATTGTATGACGCCTTGAGGTCGAGCTTTTTGGAGCTCAGATGTTGTGCAAATGGTGTGAGACTTAAGATCGAGCTTTTAAAAAAAAAAACTCGGGTTCTTATAGTGGTATGAAGGAGTGGTAATAAGCTATTTAAGAAAGTTTACATCATAGAGGGATTGCAATGAGCCATTAAGAGATAAAGCATGAATAGTAAAACATCATATAGATTGTCGAAATAAAATTCTTTACACGAGCAGAACATTAAAAAGAAAGTACAACAATTGAACAAAATACAAAGGAGTTTATATTAATCGGCTTGCTCCGAGGAAGCATCTTGTTCCTCGGGATTTTCTTGGGCTTTCTCGCCACCACGAGTTCGACATTTGTGCCTAAGTCGAGCTCTTGAAGGATGGTCTCTAGGGCAGACTCCCACCAAGGGTGGTTAAGAGGTATCTCAGGGTTGCAAGACCAACCATTGGGATCGGGGATGTCATCCATCAATGCTACCTCATCAAACTCCCTAGCATACCCACCAACTCGAGCTTGCTAGCGTGTCCTCTCAGCAACGAGCTTCAAATATTGCATGGTCGAGGGGATGATTCGTTGAAAAAAGAGCATGGAATCCTTGTAGATATCTAGAAGATCGTCTTGAAATGCATCAAAGTACTGATCTCCCAAAGCGGATGAGATGAAGTCGTCTCTAATCTCATGTCGAGTTGCGTCCTCGTGAGCAGTCGATTGTTCTTTAAGTATTTTTAGCTCGTCTTCATTCGCCTCATTTTAGTTTTGAAGAATTATATCTTGGGAGGCTTGAAGAGTCTCCAAAGAGTTAAAAGCCTCGGTTACCCAAGCCAGCTCAGACTTCAGTTGGTCGACTTGTCTAAAAGAGCTTCGAGTTGCGTCAAGCTCATGTTTGAGCTTCTCTTATTTTGTAGCTTCAGCCTGCCACTCTTTTTTTATCTTGTGGTGCTCTCATCCAAAAGGAGCCTCTCCTTCGATGGCTTCGTGGAGGATGAGAGCAAGCCCAACTGGGTACAAACAAATAAAATATTTAGCCCACATTTACTTCATAAAATATAAATAGATCATTATATATGACATAAAAAATACATTAGCAACCAGACGCGTGACGTACTTAGCATGCATCATGGAGTCACTATCCTAGTAATTTGTTTCTCAGCAGAGAAAAATCGACAACAGGTAAGATGTTTGGACCCTGAGGTCTTTGCAAGTTGCAGACGTTGTTGGTTGTTGGATGGAGCTACAAGGTGGCTGGGAGGCAGTTTCTTTCAAGGTCAAGGAGTCTCCGACTTCCAGAACCTTCATTTCGTTGGCGCTCAAAATTATTTCCCGTAAGAGCTCATTGGTCGACTTCTGCAGGTGAGCAGAAAAAGGGTTGGTTGGTCGACCAATAACAAATGAGCTCGAGAGAGTGACGGGATATTTTTTTTCTTCTGCTTCACAGATGGGTTGATGGAAATAACTCCCGATACGAACTTGTATAAGAAACAAACGACAATTTTAGTCCTCAATCCCAGTATAAAAAGGTAAGAAAATATAAAAAAAAAAAAGAGTGAGGGTGGTTAGTTCGTATACCTAAATCTAAAGGTGCAATTTGTTTAGAGGTCAACCCATAGTAAGAGCAAAGCTTGACATGAGAAGTGAGCTTCTCTGTGTGGTATGAGTCCTTATGCCACTCGACAATTAGGTCATCAAATGAGGTAATATTTTTCGGCTTCAATTTTTTTATCTAGTGCCTTCTCAAGCCACTCTGAGCTGGAACTGAATGTACCTAAGAGAGCTCTTACAAAAAAAAAAAAAAAAATCAGGATTTCCAGTGCGAGACATTAGAGGATAGGTCTTTGATATACTAAGCTTGATTATAACCATTGAGGTAGATCGAGCCCTTTTGTTTTTTAAAAGGCATAACTATAAAAGAAAAATTGGTATCTAGGTCTTGCAGCTTATAGCAACTAAGAATTACTAAAGCTACTACTATACAAATTGAATTAGGGTTGAGCTTATTTATGGTCATATGACACAATTCACTGAGGGCCAGGAGGTTGCGCCAAAGTGGGAAGCGAAGACAATTGAGAATTTGGATAACAACAAATGTATAATATCCAGGTGGAGACTAATTGTGCGAGCTACCTAGGGAGGGAGCTTTGAAAACCTAGCTTAGGGGGAGCTCACACATCCGCATGAAGCCTTTTATTACAGGTTCATGTGTGAAGAAAAAAAAGGATTAACTCGAGTTTAAACTACAACGTTAGAGGCACATTCTATGTTAGGGTTAGCAGGATGGTCGGTGTCTACTTTTACACGAGCTTGGCGAGCTCTTAGCTCGAAGTTGGAAAGAGGTAGGTCGAACGAATGGGTATCTACAATTTGCTCTATTGTATCCCAATCTTTTGCGAGCTCACTTGTAAGGTGTAAGGTCGACCTAATAGGCTAAGCTCTAATGGGGAAATGATGATAGCTAGAGACTAGTCGGTCTGAGAGGATCTCGATCTAGGGTCAAACCGGTCAGAATGCAAGGAGATAACATCACTGTTAGGGGAATTAGATGGTGAATATAAAAAAATCGAAGATGAAGATAAATAAGAACGAGGGTTGACGAGGATGAAGAGCATAAATATAAAATAAAAGTAAACAAATATCAAAATAGTATAAGAACTTACTCACTTTTTAGGGACCGTAAATAAGTTATAGGGATAAAAGAGAAAGTCTTCGGGAATGGTGGACGGATTGCCAGAGTTTGCAGAGCTTTTGGAGCTTTTGTAAAGACAGTCTAAATTGGAAGTTGCAGAAAACTGATATGTAAGGAGAATGTGAGATTTATAGGCGAAGTTACGCTTGTTCTACCACTAAACCATTAAAAATTGAAGGGTTAAGATTCGAGTTCTGGGTAAGAAATACGAGGGTACGAAATATGGGATAGACGAAAAGCCAAGCACGGCGTACGAGATACATCTCCACGAATACCGGTAGGGTTGGGCCTTTCTAAAATGACAAACATTCTTTATTTATTATCAACAAGTCAATTGAGCTCATCAAACAACATCTCGTTTGATAACTGTGGGGAGGAGGGACAACAGTAGCTCGGGTCATGATGATCCCCAAAACCACCTGGGTTAGGGGGTCTCAGTCAATTAAGAAGAGTGGGTGATCAATAGCTCGAACAACATACTATGTAAGTAGCTCGTATGATACAATCGATAGCTCGAACAACATACTATGGAAATAACTCGTATGGTCGTGTCGATAGCTCGAACAACACAGTACTAGAATAGCTCAAAAAACATATTATGTAAGTAGCTCAGATGATACAGTGTCGGTAGGACAACACATTACAAAAATAGGTCAGAGAACATACATTGTAAGTGGCTCGAATGGTACAATATGTTGATAGCTCGGACAACACAGTACGAAAATAGGACAATATATTGTTTCAGTAGCTCCAATAATATGATATGAAAGTAGCTCAGACATGAGAGTATGAATCCCTAAGGAATAAAAATGAGAGGACCTATCTATAAAGGACACGTGTAGGGTTATACGGAATATATCTAAATAATCATACGATGTGAATGGGCCTCGGGCAGATCTAGGGAAACCAAATAACTGTCAAGCCTGCCTTCAAGCACTGGGCAGTTGGGCAGGGCAAAGCTTGTTGAATAAGTTAATAATTTAATATAAATATATAAAAGGTAGGAAAAGTAAGAGATATGAAAGGTAAGAAGATAATCACTATATGCATTTTACAATCATAGTTTTACATATCATTTTACTGACTTGATCGTCGAAAGTTTAATAGTGGAAACACCTCCCGATGTCTTTGCAGGTCTCCCTAGAGCAAATTGGTTGAAGAACCATTGCCGATTTGAGGTGCAAGAGTATATAAATACTAGTATATATGATGAATTTTTGGTCAAATATGTTGAATTCTACACTCTCAAAGTCCAACACCACACTATTCTAAACACACTAATGTCAAAAACATGAAGAAAAATTCCTCCAATGAGACTGTATTGGCTTAGATTTTTTTCTTCGTGCATACCGGAATCCAAGCCAATCCCATTCTATTCAATAACGTTAGCACCTGAGTTGTCAAAAAAGTGTACAAAAAATCTATTCACAAATCACAATCAAAATATTACCGTTACATGCAAAACAATTTTTTTTTTTTTTAAACAAATAAAAAAATAATAATTAATAAAAAGAAAATGCTCAATCGTTTTCAAAATTAGCAATAATTATCATCAATTAATTCACAACCCAACACCTTAATAAATCTCATCGCAATTAACAACAATGGTAGGTTGAAAAACCCTTCCACTTTCCTTCTTCAATCTTCTGGTTTCTTTCTACTTCCTTTTTTAATTCTATCCTCATTTTTCGTTCTCTGCAACGTGCGGCTCGATCGAAGAGCTGAGAATCAGGCGACCTTGTTTTCTGATGTTTTGAAGTTGGAAATGGAGAAGGGAATCGCAGAGGAGACTAAAAACGAGGTTTTGCAGGCGATTGAAGGACAGGACGATAATGGTGGTTTTGAGAATCGAAGCGTGGTAACTGAGTTAGTGGCTCATCAGGCCCAGCATCCTTATGCCTTCCATGTGTCCGGGCCTCGCAATGTTCCTTCCATAAACTGGAGAGATCTCATCAGCTCAACCTGGTTGGTACTCGTTTTTTTTTTCGGCACTTTTTTTTTCAGTTTTGGGTTTAGATGTGAGAGTTTGTGTTGATTTGTTGTCATTTTAGTGCCCCTTTGTTGATTGTGTGGATGTAGTTGTTTCTTGGCTTGATTTTGTATGTGTTCTTCAGTTTTGGGACGATTGTAGTTTGCAGGAGGAACTAAACTGGGCTTTGGATAGGCTTGCAAAGTTCAATTAGTTAAGTGAATTGGTTTAAGTTGAAATTCATGATGATATCTTTCTACAGTTGTTCCAGATCAATGATAAATGGGTGGCCACTTCTTTTAATTCTAATTATTGACATCACAAAACAAATTTTGTTTTCTAACTTCGTGCTTTCCTTACATAAATCAACTCCATTTACAAATTACATCTATCCAATTTCTTGAGTCACTGTTTCCAATAAATGAAAAATCCAAACAGGAAGGACCCAAACTATAAAAGGACCGTGATTGCCTGCTTCATACAAGCCGTCTACCTCCTCGAGCTCGACCGGCAGGAAAACCGGACGGACGACGAGCACGCCCTTGCCCCCAAGTGGTGGGCCCCCTTCAAGTACAGGCTCGTCGAGATCCTAACCGACGAGCGAGATGGCTCTGTGTTCGGCGCCATACTCGAGTGGGACCGTGCAGCAGCCCTTGCCGACTTCGTGCTTCTGAGACCGAGCGGGGCCCCACGGGCCGTCCTGGCCCTCCGAGGCACGCTCCTGAAGGGCCCCACTATCAGACGGGACATAGAGGACGACCTCCGGTTCCTGACCTTGGAGAGCCTCAAGGGTTCCGTGAGATTTGAATGCGCCCTAAGAGCCATCAAACAAATCTCCGAGAAGTTCGGGAGCAGCAATGTGTGCGTGGCCGGGCACTCGCTGGGTGCCGGTTTCGCGCTTCAGGTCGGGAAGGCCCTGGCGAAGGAGGGTGTGTGCGTGGAGACCCACCTTTTCAACCCCCCGTCGATTTCTTTAGCTTCGGGGCTGAGGGCCGTGGGGGAGAAGGCTGGGAACGCGTGGAGGAAGGTTCGGTCGATGATCCCGAAAAGCAATGATGAGAGGGAAAACGAGGAGGTTGTTCAGATGTGTGGTGATGGTGGTGCGGATCGAGCGAAGTGGGTCCCGCACTTGTACGTGAACAATAGTGATTATATCTGCTGCTATTATAGTGACCCGGTGGAGATGGGGAAGGAGGAGGAGGAGGAGGAGGAGAAGGAGAATGTGAAGCCGGTGGTGGGTGGGCCGGGTGGTGGTGGTGCTGAGGCTAAGATGTTTGTGCTGTCGAGGGGGAAACAGAAGTTTCTGGAAGCGCACGGGTTGGAGCAGTGGTGGTCGGACGATTTGGAAATGCGGATGGCGCTGAATAGTAATAGCAAGCTGATCAGCAGGCAGCTCAAGTCATTGCATAGTGTCCCTTCTCCTCCTCCACAGTAGTAGTCTCTTCCTCCAGCCTCCAGGCAAGGGCTGATTGTTTAATTCTAAAGACTAAAAATGGTTTTTACTTTTGTTTTCCTTTTTTTTTTTTTTGTTGTGGAGAATGAGATTGGTTATACAGGTTCCCACTATAAAGGAACAGAAAGAAATTTATATGGTGAGTTTACTGTGTTAATTTGAAACTGTTTTTGATTCAGCATTGTTGCAAACCAAAACTTTGATCAATTATATTTGATTAGAAGTTTTGGACGATGATTTGCAAACCAAAACTTTGAGATTTTTTATCAAGTAATGTCCATGAGAGGTAATCAATTTTTAGACGAGCATCAGTTGCTTTAAAATTATAAGTTTCTCAAGGGGGGGAGGGGAATGACAGTAAGTAAACTATGTTTTAAAATGGACTTAAAATTTAATTAATTATTGTATGTACAAAAAATAAAATCTAAAATAAAAAATAACGACTCCGCTGGGGATCGAACCCAGAATCTCTGGTTCCGTAGACCAGCGCCTTATCCATTGGGCCACGGAGTCATATGACTTTCAAAATGTCAGAGCAAATTAAAGATGTGTAAAAAAAAGTTGAATAAAACATGTAACTTCATTTATTGGCTTAACAGCCCATTTTGGAGACTCCAACTCAACTAAGAAAGCACGTGTGGCTGATGAGATCGTAAATATTTGTTCCTTGTTTTCTTATTGTGACTTTCTCTGTCTTCTTCTTCTTTAGTAGCTACTTGCTAGTGGTAGTTTGGCCTTGATGGCATTGGAGGGGGAGTAGTGTGTAACTCCCTCGTTTGTTTGCCTTTCTATCGTGTGTGATAGTTATGGCTTTCTTTATGTTCAGGTGAACACCCGTTTGTAATTTCTTGAGTGTTATTGTAACTCCCTCGGTTGTTTGCCTTTCTATCGTGTGTGCTAGTTATGGTTTTCTTTATGTTCGTGTGAACACCCGCTTGTAATTTCTTGAGTGTTATTTTGATGATGGTTTGAAAAAAAAAACTCAACTAAGAAGACAACATGGTAGAGAAATGATGAGCAACATTTGATTGTCATTTAAATGGGAATGTATTTCCATAAAA